ATCTGTCATCTTGGCAAAATAAGAAAAGTAACTTTCTTTCTGAATCAGTTACAAACATCATCCAAATTCCGAAGTAAAAATAACAAAATGAATAAACTATTTTGATAAAATAACAATGTATTACAACAAAAATAAGAAGTACACAATTTTTATGTAAAAAGATAAATAAAACGTGGATGTAGAAGCTGCAAACGAATACCCGAAAGCGAACGTAAAATAAAGAGACAACAAAAGTAAACGCCAGTGGTTTCTCTGCTGTATTGCACCAAAATAACTTGGATTCCGATGCTGGTTCGAATTCCAGATGCACCGAGTACGCGGCCGGTGCAGAAGAACTCCGAATGCCGCATTTGAACAGATCCAATGTAAATTACATGAATGCAAATGTATTCGCAAATTCATCTCGCTTGTGTGCTGCAATGGCAATACAACTTAAAAAGTACGCTTTGAGGGCCACAAGTTTCAAAATAGTGAATAAAACTTTGTTTTAGTAGCAATATGGAAAGAGGAGTTACGTTTTTATTTCCACACTCAGCCTCCTGGTCAGAAATGAAAATCCCCATTGTTGAAATGGGATGGCCAGAAATTAGTGAAGGTAATCTCAGATCAAAAGGACTGGTCCGAAGCTGGTAATGGAATCTTGCATAATATATGTGAAAGGTAATACCAGAATTGTGACTTATTACTATTCATTTGTGATTTTGAAAAATAATTCAGCACACTTCTTCACAGGACACAAAATTCAGTGCAAAATGTGTAGTATCTGTTTTCCAATATCAAGTAATACTAATATGTTTTGTAGAAGTGTTTCCTAATACAATATCCAAATCAACTTATAGAATACTATAGCAAAAATTCCCATTTTCATAAAAACATCTCAAATTTCTATATTGAAAATATTTGAAATATATTTCTGACGCATCGGAAGTATTGTTTGTAGGCAAACATTACGGTTTCTACCTCATAAATCTCTTTCTCGCGGAGTTCATGCGCATAGGTTTGAAACCCTCAATCAAATATTGTTTTGTGGTTTGGAGACACATTTTTGTGGGCTCAAATAGTACTTTAATATTACGTAACCATTAAAAACTACTCAAAGATTGTTAATCATTTGAACCGTAGAACGTGCTAATTTAAACGTTTTAAATTATACACACGTGAAAAGCGTTCAATATAAAATGTGTTTAGGTTAATTTGAGGCCATGTCAAAATTACAGACATTGAAGTGTTTGCATAAAAAATGGGCACATTTTAAATTTAAGAGAAGTATTAGTAATCGGTCTTCTATATTTAATTAGAATTTAGAAAACGTTTATTAGTTCTTTTTGCATTACACTTAAGGATTTACTGATTAACTGATGTTTGGTGGCACGCTAGCTGCTGTGTTCACTACAGCCATTAGTTTAGCGAATGTATATTCCGGAAGGTGGCGGTGATTTTTTTCCCTCTGGATGGTGAAATTTGACACTGATCATCACGTCAGTTTGAGGGGAATTTTCCTCTTCAGATACTTCTCGCCAACGGGGTACTCCAGTCGAAACGAACTCTAAGCTCTCAACAGGTCTTTCGAGATATGTGGTAGTGCAGTGCATGTAAGTGTATGTGTAAGGGATACGACAAGGAATGGGAAGGAACGTTCGAGCGCGGTATATGGCCCGTTTGTTAGCGTACTGCTCCGGTATCCGCGGGCTAGTGGTAGGAGAAACCAGAGCTTTCGACCCAGCTAGTGTCGAAAACTCGTCACCGCCAAGCTTCGAACCCAAGAACTTCCCGGTCTGAGTATTTGCAATGACAGCGGCAATGCTTGGTCTGAGCTATATTCAGCCGGTTACCCTCAATGAGTATCCATTACCTCTCTGCAATCACCTTAACATCCGACAGCTCTCACTCAGTACTAATCCGTGATTTAAAGTCTCATCAGACAAAAATCCAATTTCGAAATTGCGAACCTTGACGCCACAAAGGCCCGCGCGGGCGTGCGTCGCGCCGCCGCTTTCCTAAACGCTTTCCCAAGCGCAGATATTGCACGTGTGTTGGTGAGCAGGAAAGAATATGGAAAAAAGCTTTGTCGGAGGGGAGCTGCTTGCTTCGGCCGCGAGGCGCGGGGTGGGAGGCTACGGGACGCGGAGCGCCGGCCCCGCCGCCCCCACCGCCCACGTCGCCTCCGCCTCCCACGCCGCCTCCGCCACCCACGCCGCCTGGCGCCGATGAGAGCACGTGAAACAGTCGGAGCGTTGCTTGCGCCGCACATTGGGCCCAAATGCACCAGTAGACGAGGGGGAACGTGAATGGGCTGATAAAGGGAAAACCGAGATAATACCAGGGGGGAAACTCCAAGGAGAGCATGGGGGCCGGGAGTTTTTTCAAAATGTTCTGGGATTTCAAAATATGAGTTTTACATGTATTCTTTTGATTATATTAGTAATCAAATCATATACAATAGTATATGACGTCAGATGGCCATGCTTAAGAACTGTTGAGTTTTATACTTGTACATGGTGAACTTATTTTAACAACTATTCAATGTCTTGAAGACAAAATACCCATTTCAGGAGGTAGATACAGCAGGTCAGTTACTTGTTTTTCGAATTAAACAATATTTTTAAGCTAAGAGGAGCAAGAATCTCTTATCAACATCTGCGATTCATAGGGGCCACATACGATACGAAAATAATTTCAGTGATATATAAAAAAGGAATAATAGGGCAATGTTCATATTGTTTAGAATAACTGTTGTATATACAGTTGGTCGTTTGTATGGAAGAGGTTTGAAATCTTATGTGCAAGAGGAATTTCAAAATAACAATGAAGCAATTCTAGCATGTTTTCGTGTAGGAAGATCGACGATGTTTCTGTACTTTAACTGTTATTTGAATAATTTGCTGCAGTAGGTCAAGAAATACATTTTATTGTATTGATTTTCTGATCTTAATAAGACATAAATAACAAATAAACACGTAAAAAAATAAATAAGGTAACAGACATTAACATATAAATACATTTTAAATTTATATAGTTGAAAAGCTTATCACAGCATTCCACTTTTCAAGTTATGGTATGTTTTGAAAGATTTTAAAATTAATAAAATAATTATGAGAGCTATTCAAAATGTACAGAAATGGTGCAGAATCCAAAGTAAAGATAAGTTCTAGTAAATGAAGTCTTTCACTTACAATTTTAAAATGTATCAGCAAAAATTGTTGGAAATGTGGTAAATAGGGAGTTTCCATTGGGAAGAACACGTTAAGCTCCTTGTTGTTTGCACGTGATCAAGGTTTGATAGCTTAAAATACGGAAGATATTGAATATATGTTTGGAAAATAGATAGAGAATTTATTATACCATATGGGGTTTAAAAGTTCATATGTCTGAAATATTTTATATGGGATGTAGACTAAAATCTCGTCTAAAATACGTAATTGAGTTGGAAAAGTAAAAAATAAATGTTCTGATTTTATGCGTTTAGGGGTAAAAATTCATAAAGATGCTAGTCAAGAAATAAAGATAGAGCGACCGTTTCCAAGCTAAATGAAAGATTAAAGGATAAGAACAGTCTGGGAAAAAATAAATTACATATTTTTTCAGCAATAGTGCAAAGTAGTGTGATGTATGGTGCACAAACATGGAAATCATCTAGAAACTTACAATTAAAGTTGTTTGGCTACAGAAGTGGATTTATTACGTAAAGCAGCGAGAATATCATGGCGAGAAAAATCGTAGTAATGTATTTCGTCAAAAATGAAAAGGAAGTTCCTATTTTGAATTATACTCAACGCAAAAGCTTCAGCTGGTTTATACATGTGATACGAATGGGGAAGAAAGAATATCTGAAAATATTTTAGAATGGTTTACGGTACGTACGAAGAAAAGAGGACACCCTAAACAGATGTAGTTAAAAGCAATTTCACACATTATGGCTTAAAGGAAGAGGATTATGAAAAGAGAAATGAATGGAGAAAAATGGTATCAAGTTGTTTATAAGAGATTTTTCACCTTCAGAAAGTTGTTTTTGAAAATAATGCGAACATGTTATATAACTTACATTTCATTATTGTAATATTACAATAATGTGTATTGCAGGGCGAGAAAAAACAACGTAGTTTTAAATTTTCTCATTTCAATTTGACATAGGCTCGAAGTTTGAATTAAGTCAATTAATCGAAAACATTAATCCAATTGTAATTAAATTTTTTAAGCTTTTATAAGAAGCGAACTACGGAGTCTTGTGGATTATTCGTGATTGTTAATATATACACACTATACATAAATGTTATTTTTAATGTATATTAATAATATAATTTCTGGAAATCAGATTGAAGTAATCAATTATTGGTATTTAAAATGTATAATAATTATTCATAAAACGTTTCTCTCACCTTTAAATGAGCATTTTGGCAATTGTGTCAATTTGGCAATGATAGCTTTATGGGATGAACTGCTAGAGGTGAAGAATTGTTAATTACAGTCGTAATAATTTCAGTCGTTTTCAGTTCATGCAACTGATATAAAAATATTATTTCGTAAAAAAAGCTCTTCATGCACGGTAAACAAAAGAGGACATTGGACGGTGTTGTGTCGCACTGCACAGTTCAATGGTAGTGCACTGACATGGAAAAATGGAACTTCCTTTCAAAGGATGGAACATGCATTGCATTCTAACGGTAAAAAATGGAAAAACAACCACACGTGATGATCTCTCTCTATTTAAATAGGTCATAATTTAATTACCGAGCGAGAAATACATTCCCTTTTTCCTAGTTTAATTTAATAGAACGTTGAGTACGTTTGTGATGATTTTAATTAAAATATCAGAAATAGCCTATTGTAAAAATATTATTGACTATTAATATAATTAATTATACATAAACTATTATTACGATGAGACTACGTCAGATTTTTTTGATTCATTTATTTTGACACGCTTTACAAAATTCGTTTTCATCGAAATTTCATGGCGAATTTTGATCTCGGGCAAAGGGATTCATGCGGTTCCGACCCACTGTGCGCCGCCCGTCCGCAGGCGCGCGTGTGACAAAGAGTGAGCGCCAACAAAGCCGCGCGCCGCCAGCGGAGAGCGCCGCAGCGCGGTGTGGCTGGGCGCGGCGAAGCCAGCACCCGTGACCGCGACGCGCATGCGGTGCTGCCGAACGCCACATCAACTCTTTTTTTTGCTCGCTTCTCCCCGCTCGCGGAATGCGTCCAATTGGAGGATCCGGGCACGAGGTTGGACTGCATTTTTAGGACCGAGGAAGAAGGTAAGTCAGTAATTCTATCAATAATTAAATAAAAATTCATAATTAAGTAAATAATATATATTTATGTTGTACTTTTCGTAGGAAGAATGTTGTTCTCTCTTCTGGGGTCTTTCTCATTTCGCGGTAGATTAAAATCCTTTTGTCAATTATCAAGGTATTTCTCAGAAAGATCTTTTCTGTCTTTCTTCACAATAATTTCCATCTACAATATATTTTCTTACAGTTTTGTCTGCCATAACGTACACACTTTATTTTCCGTATTGTATTTTCTTTACTATCCCCAAATTTTTTCTTGGCTTCTCTCAGTCCAGCCATTTTTGTGTGTAAATAAATGAAAATTAAATGTCAAGTCCAAAGAAACGTTACTGCATAGCAAAGTAATCGGAATATTCATAATTCATTGTTTCGTGTTCCACTCATGTGATTGAAATCTCATCCATTCAAAAACATTTATTTAACAATAGCGTTCAAGACGAGCTGAAGAAGACTAGAGCTTGGGGAGTTCCTGAGATTGTCTGAGCGGCTGTTTGTATCGCACTGTGACCGCACTAGACACTAGCGCCTAGCACGCACTACACTCCACACTAGCCTAACACAGTATTTTTCCTAAAGTGGATAAGAAGAAAAGGAGATGTGGCCGGGTTTATAGATAGATCTTGTAATTTGTTTGTGACTTTGCATGAAACTCCTAGGACATTTTCGATTTAAAAATTCATGGTTTCGGGTAGGTAATATTTAATATCGGTGAAAACTGTGTTTGACGTAAAGAGAAGTACAATATGCGCACGCTTTCTTGAGCTCCACAATCTCATTTTCGCTTCTAAGTTAGAGAAATATTATTTGCATCGTTAAACGAATTACACGCTTGATTTGTTTGAGTAATACTACAATATCGTAACTGAGACCCCTGGCTCCATTCCTGTCAAACTAGCGAAAGGAGAGCTCAACACAACATGCGCTTAGAGAAGATATATTGATGTCCAGACACAAAACAAAGGTTCATCTCAGCATTTTTTCAATGCATCAGGGAAACTGGACAAAGACATGATCGAGATGGGAGTCATTGACCCGGAAGCTGAAGTACATTACTTATTATTAGCTTATAATTTTTTTTTAAAAATTAAACAAAACAAATAGAAACTAATGTATTATATTATCATTGTTAAAATATTTGTTTTCTTTTTAAGATCAGTATTGTCTCTTATTGTATAGAAACAGTTATGCAGCAGAAAATATTTTACTTTGTTCTTTCACTTGTTGATGAATTTTAATTGTTTAATGACATCTGGTAATGTGTTGTATACTAACGTACATGTATCATACGTGGATTTCCTGTAATGAGCTGTTGATACTGACAAATGATGAATGTGATTTCTACGACGAGTGCTGTAATATTTAATATCAGTATTGCATGAAAATATGTTTCCACCGTTAAGTAAGTCATTTTTAATAAATGACATTGACGTCATTTTGATTAACAATTTTGAATTTTTAAATAGTACAAATTTCATTCATTAGAACATTTGGCGTATTAATATTTACATTTCAAGAGTAATTTAGAATTTAATGCACGTTTGGATACAATTAATGCTTCAAATGATCACTTATTAAGTGCATCGAAATCTCAATCTTTTCCCATAAACATTTTCCTTTTTTCATTAATAATAAGAGACGCTTCATATAATTGTATGTGTAAAGCAGTGGTCGTTAAATTGTTGTCTACATTGAAAGGGCAAATACGTTTTCGGGCGTTTTGTTAGGATACATCAGATTACATTGAAACTAAATATTTGCATTGTTTTAATTTCCTACTCTTAGTTTGGTGAATATAGGTTTCAATATTACAATATTACGATACCGATAGAATAATAAGAGAATACGACTTGTAGCGCCACTACGTGAAATTTTAATTATCAAGAGAAATACTAAAAAAATCATGAATTACCATAACAACTACAAGCAAGCAAGACAAAATTGCAAACATGATTTGGGTGTGCAAAACTAGTCAGAATGTATATTAGATCATGTCGCAAGAAGTTATCACAATCATTATGTATATGAGAGACATCTAGTATAAGTTTGAAAAACCCAAACAATGTCCCAATCGTTTGTTGTACGGTGAACATGTTTTAAGACATACAGAGTAATTGGTCTTTGCTTTAGAAAACAAGTGTTTGCTTCTAAAGACGGGAGTATCATCTCCAGACATGTTTTCCGCTTCTTAGATTACAGAGGTTGCACTTCACGATTACTTCAATTAAAATGAAGCCTCCCAAAAAGTAACTGACGCTTCATCCTTGGCGAGAGATGAATTACCTGCATTTCTGCAAATGTAAATAACTCAAATCTTGCTCCCTCAAATCTTGAAGTTTGGGAAATTACGTTGCCAACATTTTGGTACCGTCAAACGCTAAACGACTTCATACGTCTGCAGAGTTACGAGCTCCGGATCAAACACAATGCTCTCCCTGTAATCTTCCACCGGAACTGAGACAACACGAGCAACCCCGGAGATATTACGAGTAGTTCCCTAAAGGAGCGGCGACGCAGGAGAGTCTTTGAACTTCCGCATGGTGTACAAAGGGGGGAAAACGAAATGGAAGAACAGATGCTCTGCGTCAAGAAAAACGTTGACGTGACAAGAATTTCTCCAGCGATTCTTTCGGAACATGTTGAACAAAGTTGGCATGGGGTCGAACTATGAACGTAGAAGAAAAAAGTAAGTGAAAGTGTACAAAAAGAATAAAGAAAGAAGAAAATAGAAAGTGAAATTTGGCACAGGAATTAAAAAATAAAAAAAAATGCACCGAAGACAACCTTAGATAAAAATGAATAGAATAGATTGGTAGGCAACATGTGGGAAGATCAACGAATAAACGTAAATTCATATTTTCAAAGCGAAAGTAAATAATGTAGAAATGAAGAAAGTAATAACAGAACCAAAAAAATAAAAAAAACTCAGGGAATTCACTAAGATCAAGATAACAGCAGAATGTACTAACACAAATAAACCCCGATGGATTCTACAGTAAATAAAATAAATGATTTTAAATTTAGAAAATACGTTCTTTCGTATTTTTTACTTACCTGATATTTTATTGCAAAGGAGTTGTCAGGTTAAAGGAGATGAGTGTTTGTGCTGAAAAGTTGTAAAATGAAATATCGTTTTCCCAATCTCATTTAACAAAGAGCAAATTAATAATCAAATTTTCATAATGTTTATTCCTGTTACTTTATTTCATGGCATGCAAAAACAAAACAGTTTTCTTGTTCATGTTTTTGTGTGAAAAAAGCTAATAGTTTCATTGTAAATAATAGTGTGTGCAAGATTATGAAGCGTGCGCTAAACAGAGCAAAGTGTTATAGTGTGCGAAACATCTTTAGCCCAAGGCGGGTTATAAAATACTATTCTTAACACGTGTGCGAGGTGATTTGTTTTTTAGGTAACCTACTATTTCAAGTCGCCTCTAAATCACATCAGCCTTGATACGGTTTTAAAGGTAATCAAACAAATAGAAAGGGGTTGTTTAGCAGTCGGATTCTTACATCGGCCACATAGTTTTTTTAGGTCTTAGTTTTATGTCACAGTCCTTCAAGATTTAATGAACCTTCCGCAGAAGTATCAGTTTGATAAGTACAAAGGGCGTTGGAAACGTAATCACAAATGTGTTTTAGAGTTTGTAGGATAATATCTCCATAGTCCATAGTTTGTCTTCTGTAATATTAGAAAAACAAGTTTTTATTTCGTCTTTTTCAGGCGAAACCTTCAATAAAGCTTTCGATTTTCTGATATTAGTTTTTTAGTGCTGAACCCCCTTGTTATAAATAAGAAGCTAGGACATCCTTAATAAAAAAGTCACTTCGGGGCTGATTGACTTTTTTCAATTGAGGTTGGTTGGCAACATGTCAACCAGCGTTACTCGACACCCAATGGGCAATTGTCATACCTCTTTCTGAATATATATTTTTTCTTCTAAGAATGGCCAATTTTTATTTATTGTTTTACTATTTTGTACTAATTTATTTAGAAACTTCTACTTTGTTTTACTGACCCTTAAAAATCACAAAAGTTTGATAGTGGTCAAGTACACAATAATGGCCAATCGATATTTTACTCCCTGAGCAAATCTGAGATAAATATAGTCCAAAAAATAATCCAGTATTTTACATTTTTGCAATGCTAAAATTGAAAAGATGTTTTCAGCTTTTTCATTGCTTAGAGGAAATAGTAAAGAGGAAAAAATAATTTAGTTTCTTCCTGATCCTCAACAGTAGACGGCACCAATGCCACAAGTTTGGAGCTAGTGGAACGCCATCAATTCTTATTTTTCAAAGTTTGTCATTGAAATGGGAATTATAAATGCTCGTTTGAGTGCTTTTGAATGGTTCAATTTATTGGTTAACTCTTCACCAAAGAAAAACATTGCACCCGCACTAGGCTGAAAGTGTTCTAAGGATTTCAGCATTTGGTTCACATTCAGATGACAAGAAACGGATTACGAAACCTGTTCTTGCTTGTTGCAAACGAAGAGTGGTGCAGCGAATTTCGTCAGAACAATACAAGCGAACACAAACTGAAAACGCTGAAACTTACCATAAGCAAAGTGAACGATGTCATCTTAAGACTGGTAAGTGCACGAAGCTATCCAGTCAATCTACAGACGATGAGAGCGAAAGTTCAGATATTTATCGATTTTTCCCTAGAAGATGAATAATCCTGGACAACATGTTGAATATTTTTCAGTGTTAATAATGTTTTCCCGTAAAGTCACCCAAATTAATAATAAACACATACAATACAATGGAACACTGACGGTTCCCTTGGTATGTTTTCTCTCAATGACTTCAAGCATAATGTGGCTTTAGGATATCAATTCGA